GGGGATATATCACCCAAAAAATGGAAAAAGCTGGAATCATTTACTCGCCCTCAATTCGTTCCAAACCTGTATGAGTTTCTTTCTTCCGCTGAACACAAAAGATGATATTTTGAAGAATGTGTGTAACCAAACAGTTACTCATTGACTTCCATAAGATTTTTTTTCCCCCCATACTATGGAAGTCTATGACTACCAGCAACATGTTCTTCCAAATATCTTCTTTTGTGCTCAACAGAAGAAAGAATCTCATAGTTTGGAACAACTTGAGGGAACAGGTGAATTAACCCTTTAAAGGAGAAATATATGCTGCATTCAAACAGCCCATAATGACTTAAAGTGATGTGAAGCAGCTGTAGGGTCTCACCGGCAGCCACTGTCCCACGTCTCCAGTGTGAAGCCAGCCATCAGCATCCAGCGCCTCTCCCGTCCTCTCCTCATCCTTCAGATACCCTCGGAAGACGCTGTGACCCCGGGGATATATCACCCAAAAAATGGAAAAAGCTGGAATCATTTACTCGCCCTCAATTCGTTCCAAACCTGTATGAGTTTCTTTCTTCCGCTGAACACAAAAGATGATATTTTGAAGAATGTGTGTAACCAAACAGTTACTCATTGACTTCCATAAGATTTTTTTCCCCCCATACTATGGAAGTCTCTGACTACCAGCAACATGTTCTTCCAAATATCTTCTTTTGTGCTCAACAGAAGAAAGAATCTCATAGTTTGGAACAACTTGAGGGAGCAGAATTTCCATTTAAAGGAGAAATATATGCTGCATTCAAACAGCCCATAATGACTTAAAGTGATGTGAAGCAGCTGTAGGGTCTCACCGGCAGCCACTGTCCCACGTCTCCAGTGTGAAGCCAGCCATCAGCATCCAGCGCCTCTCCCGTCCTCTCCTCATCCTTCAGATACCCTCGGAAGACGCTGTGACCCCGGATACAGATCTGACACGTATAACACACAATCTAAGTGTTAAATGACATAGGGAAGTCCATTCATTTCAGCTCATCGATCTGACAAAAGTGTTCCTCACGTAGTGTGTAAGGCCCATGTTACGGGTCACTTTCCACAATTGCTGGTAGATAAGGCCCAAAATCCCCCCTAATTGCAGAAAATGTATCCATGTTTGGTTGGTGGGTTAATTTTCCACAGTGATCTGGATACTGACCTCTCCTTCTCCATTCTTGGCGTAGTAGTTCATGTCAGGGATGTCAGTTAACTTCACCATAGCACAGGGTAAAGGAGCTCCGACATGACCTGAAACACATCAGACACACAGCTAACATGACTCCTCAGAACAACTGCTGAATCGCAGGTGAACATTAATATTATTTGGCTTATTGTCCGTTCACACTGGAAACAAGCAAGTCAAACACTGCACATTTTGGATAATGTAGCAAGTCATATGAGTATCCTTATGTACTACTTTTTTCAAAACTAGTAAATAGTACGCCATTCATGACTAAAGCAGGCTTATAAAGATACATGAACACAAACCTGCACTCCAGTCACCAGGCATAGAAAAGGTACATCCAGCAGTGCACTCCGTCTGTCCATAACCCTCGAAAATCTGAAACCATATTAAACAATCAGTGTCAATATCGCAATCAATACTGGTGAATATCACTGGTGATGCACACATCACCCAAGCAGTGCTATTTTAGTGTTATTTGCATAATATTATATTATTTACTAATATTTGGAGTTGGCTTTTATTTTTATTTCAAATTTAGTTTAGGTTTTAGTAATTTTGTTTTGTGCTTTTCTTATTTTTATTAGGTTTTTTTTTGGTTACACTTTATTTTAAGGTGTCCTTGTCCAGTGTAATTATATATTTAAGTACTGAATAATAGTAATTAACTACATGTACTTACTATATGGTTAGGGTTAGGATTAGGGTTTGGCTTAGGGTTACTTGCATGTAATTTTGCATAATTTATTGTTATTATAATGGTAAGTACATGTAACAAGGACACCTTAAAATGGTGTTACCGTTTTTTTTTTGTCAGTAACACTACAATACGTTTACATTTGTTAACATTCGTTAACTACTTAAGCTAACATGAACTAATAATGAAAAAATAATTCTAAAGCATTTATTAATCTTAATTCATGTAAATTTCAACATTTACTTGTACATTATTAAAATCAAAAGTTGTATCTGTTAACATTATTGAGTTGATATGGAACTAGTTTAATGTATGTTAGCTCATTTTAATGCATTAATTAACGCTAACTAATGGGACCTTATTGTAAAGTGCTACCCATGTGTTTCTGTTTAGCTTTATTTTATTTCAGTTTTTTAAATACTTCATCTTAGACTTATTTCATTTCAGTTAGTTGCCAAAGCAACATTTCTCATTTTTAAGTTTCAGATTTTCATTTAACATTCGCACTTTATTTAATTTCAGCTTTACTTCAATGACAAAACTGATTCTTAATAGAGTTTTAGTTTTAGTTAACAGTAACAAGACTGCCTCCAAATCAATGTGATGTCAGAGATGATGGAAAGCCTTGCTTAACCTACATGAAAACACATTTGTGTATGTATTAAAGCGCTTTATAGTATTTTAATATGACATTGAATCGTTATTAGGAGAGGACTCACCAGACAGCCGAGGGTGGCTCTGAGGAAGGACAGGACAGTTGGAGAGATCGGGGCGGATGCAGTGAGGATGAATCGCAGGTTTCCACCCAGACTGGCCTACAGGAAGAAAGAGAGAGATGAATGAATGAAGAGACTTTATTTTGCTCCGCTCACAGTTCATGTCACGCATATAACACCTTATATATCCACAACACAAGGGGGCAGTTCAACGGCTTTCCATCAGATCTTTCAATAACTGCAGCTTGGTGTTAATGTGAAAGAGACGTGCCTGGATCTTATTGAAGATCAGTCGGTCCCACATGCTGTTGTTCCTCACGACTCCACTGCTCAGCTCGGCCTGTTTCCTCCTCACGGCGTAATGAAGAAGGGCTCTCCTCAGCGGAGACGTAACCGAGCCCAGAATCTACACACACATAGAACAGAGTGATTTAACAGTCATTATTCCCCATTTGTGTCCAACAGTGATGTGTAGCACTCACTTTATCATAGATGCGGTTGAGTAATCGAGGGACCACGGGGAAGAAGGTGGGCTTCAGGGTCTTTATGTCATCCATCAGCAGAGAAATGTCACCCTGGTAAAAACCAACCCTTGCTCCATGACAAAACATCGACACCTGAAGAAGAGAGAGAGAGAGTGCACAATACAATAGAGAGCAAGGATTCAAATGAGCTACATAAAAGGACAAGAATCTAAACAGAGTATGATGGTTACGGTGTGTTTTTGTATTCAGTCAATATGCAATGGTAACACTTTGTTGCTAATTTAATTTATGCATTAGGAATCATGACATAACATCTAATAATCTGGGTTAATGTTAATTTAAATTGATCAAACGTGATAGTCAAGACATGTTACAAAAGATTTCAACAAATGCTGTTCTTTTGAACTTTCTATTCATCAAATAATCCTGAAAAAAATAATGCATCAGTTTCCACAAAAAAAACAAACAAAAAAATCAAATAGAGAGCAGTTCCTTTAAATTGTAATACTATTTTACAATATTAGTGTGTTTTAATGCATTTTGCATCAAATAAATATAGCCTTAGGAAGCATAAGAGACTTCTTTCAACAAAATATTAATACAATCTTAATTATTCCAAACCTTTGACAACAATGTAAATAATTTAACATGAATGAACTTCAATAATAGTATAATGTAGTTTTATACATTTTAAAATGTTAAAAATGTTTATGTAGACATTTACATTAATAATGAGTAATATATACAGTAAAACCTACTTGATTTTATTTACACATAACTTTTTAACAAATGTCATTAACTTTACTGTACACCATCAGAACATTAAAAAAAATATAATGTTTCATCAAAACCTACTTCCATCATGACTTTTCAGATGAAACCAAGGGAAATCTTTTCAAATGAAATAATATTATGTTAATAATAGTGGTGTCAAACGATTAATCGCGATTAATCGCATCCAAAATAAAAGTTTTTGTTTACAGAATATATGTGTAAATATACTGAGTATATTTATTATGTATATATAAACACACACACATGCATATATATATATATATATATATATACATATATATATAAGAAAAATATGTTGTTTATATATTAAATATATTTATATATATAATATATACATGTAAATATTTTCACAATATATACTGTATGTGTGTGTCTATATATACACATCATAAATATACACAAAAACATTTATTTTGGATGAGATTAATCGTGATTAATCATTTGACAGCGCAAAATAGCGCACAGTATCAAAATAGGTGGGGTTACCTGGATCATACGCTCAAACATGTGAGCGAGTGGCAGATAGGAGATGGACACATCCTCCTGACGAATCACAAAGTAGCCCTGGCATGTGTGAATATAAAATATGACATAAATAGTTTAAAATATAACATCAATATTTTTAAATGTCTAATTACAGCATTTATTGGCCAAGTCGATAAGGTTTTAGAATTTCACTCCCGTGCAAAATATCAGTAGCAGTTGCATTAAGAGAGAACAGCATGAAGCCATTTTAACACACAACCTGCAGATAAAAGGAACAAAGAGCCTCATAAACAGAACTTGAAAGAGAAAGAGGTCTCATGGGAAACACAAGGCCTTTATTAAAGAAGAAACAGAAGGAAGAGGAACAGGACAGAAGATAAGATGAAAGCTATGGAGAGATGAAGTTTAGGAAGAGAAATGTCACAAGCTGAAGGAGGATAAGTAAGAAAAGAAAGCAGAGATACAGGAAGTTAAAAGCTCTCTGAACTGACCTCAAGGATCTTGATGACAGAGGAGGTGTTGGAGGCGATGTTGCCGTGAGTGATCATGGCTCCTTTAGGCTTTCCTACATGACACAAAGAATCACATCTAAACCCTAATTTCACAGGTCACTGTAACACAATAAACTAAATACAGTATGATGTGGTTATATATTACAACAGATCAAAAAATGGCCCGTAATCCATCCAGGGTTTATAGTGTCTGCTGGTTGGTACCTGTGGTCCCACTGGTGAAACATACCACAGCCAGATCCTGAGGTTTAGGAGGCTAAAGCCAATACAAAAAACAAACAAACATAAAACAAATTCAAATATCTAAAACTCAACATTTAAACAGTCTAGTTCAGTGTTCACAGTAAGCCGGCCCTGCATCACGCGATCACGTTCATCTGACACCCTCCACCTCCCCCAGCACCACCTGTCTAGATGTGCTACAGGGGATGTTATGTACATCTATTCGTGCAGCAGCAGCATAAATCTTGTGACTCGTTCACTCAGAATGCTTTTTTTCATTCCAGTGCACTGCTTCCCTATTGTTTTTTTTGTTTTTTTTTATGTAAACATGCGCTAGATGGATGTGTTTGACAGTTATGCTTGCGAACTGTGTCTTTTGAAGTGTTTCGGCAGTCTAAAAGCTTTAAGAAAAAAAATGCATTGCTCAACCTTACTTTTTTCATACCACTGCCCTGTGTCTCACGGTTTTTAATGCAAAAACACATTCCGCGTGAATTGTCTATTAAATGCTCGCAGCAGCTTGTTAGCATACTAGAAATAGCACATCTCCATACTCAATAATATGAGCAGCAGAGCATATAGCAGATCAAGTCAGACAAGAATAAATACAGCAAGACTGTCATATCCATTAAAATTACTCTGAAAGAGGAAAAAAGCAGCAAGAGGTCTTACCACAGGTGGCTTTAAATGTTCTCTTCCTAGATCCTGCAATGCATTTAAATACAGATATTTTAACTGCATTGTGAAAAATAAAGTTATAAATAAGACATTATTAGAGTACTTTTTACAAGCAACTACTATTTCAGTATTTCTACTTCAAAACTGAATGTTTAATTCAATGTGTTACTGGTGTTTTGTTTTTTGTCTGTTTTGTAATTGTTTGTGAACTTTACTCACAATTTCTGAGTGAAAATAGTTTCAAAGTAAATCCTACACCATTTTTTTTCCCAGTGTGATCATGTTTTTATGACTCTAAAGGCAATACATTATGAAAAACAGGATCACAACTCAAAGCTCAAAAGTCATAAAAATGGCATCCATGTTTACCATCCAGTAACTACTGAGTATTCAGTACACAGACATTAATCAATCACAATCATTTATTTATTAAGATCGTTTGCATTTAATAGTCTTAAAAGCCTGTTTAATTGTAAAGGTCAAAGAGAGAATGCAAACGAGTCATGAAAATGTAAATTGCTACAAAAATGCCATACAACTGTAGAAAATGACAACAACTGTTCAGTTATTTTAACTAGCTATTTTGTGACGATATTCCTGACCATAATCTGTGAGAGCTGTAGTATCTCCACACCGCACTTCCTTCCTCTCTCCAGCAGGGCGGCGCTGAAGGGGTTAAAGAGCACCAGACAGGAGAGGGTGGGAGTCACTCCCTTCTCCTTATTCTTCAACAGAGATTCTGCCTTATCCTCCTTATCACAGATCACCATAGAGATCTCCGCTGGAGAGAGATCCGAGACCGAGAGATGAATCTCAAAAAGCGCTATTAAGATTAAAACGTAAATGATAGCATCACAGCTTCGTTTCGAGGTTTTATTATTATTATTATTACTCACCCAGGTTAAGGATGTGAACCATAGCATCTAATCCAAGTGTATCGTACAGAGGCACCAGAGCCATAGAGAACGTGTAACAGGCCAGCTCTACAATGACCCACTGCAGCCAGCAGGGGGAGACAAACAAACCGACAACATATTAGAAAAATCCAGTTATAATAAACCTGGAGAATTGTGTATTCATCTCAATGGAAGTTGCTCAGCTGGTAAGTGTTTGAAATGTGACTTTGCTCACAGACATTCAGTGATTTAACTGGTTTGTGAACATATGCCTATTATATTAGACCAGTAGTGAAAATGCTTCGTGAGAATTAGTTGACATGTAGTTACAAAGTTACTTATAGTTAGTAGAATGTCTAAAGTGGACTATCGAAATAAAGTGTAACCAATGCTTCTATTTTGATTTCACATTTGTGACCTAAAGATCTAGATCTAGAGTGCTAAATCGGAAGTATTTCTCAGTCATTTAATGTCATGGTTTTTCGGTTTAAATGATTCAAAAGATCCCAGATTTTCAATCTAGATAAAGAATTAAGTCTTACATCAGCAGTTACACACATCATTTCAGAGGCAGAAATAACGGTGAATTTGATTTAAGATTATAAAAACAAACTTTGAACATAATTCTTTCAAATACCATGCACTGAAGAACTGTTCACAAACAGACCAGGAAATCAGATATTAATCTGTGTATGATATACCTCTGGTCTGTTTTGGGCAAAGATGCCCACAAACTGCTGTGGGTTTGGTTTGCAACCCTTCGCCAGCAAACCTGATCCCAACACCTGTGCCCTTTCTGCGACCTGTAGCAATCACAGTGCCATTAAAATCCCTCAGAGGGCTTTTGCTGGATTATTACATGATTATTATACAGTAATAAATGTGTTATAACATGCATTGCTCTCACCTCAGTGTAAGAGATCCACTGATAGGGCTCTCCGGGTTTCCTGAAGCCAAGACAAGGACCATTGCCTGCACAAAACATGTTACTGTTAGTTACTATGGCTCTCTGGAATACTTGATTCTGATTGGTCATCTGTGAAACACTGTGGTCTTCATATTTTATAATGATTACTAGCTACTGAACTGTATAACGGACTGATCCGCTGTTAACGTGCTTCTAAGCTTGTTTATTAATGACTTTCTATTGTCTTGGAGCTGAATAAATGACACTATTGTCTTTTTAGAGCTGCTGTACAGCAGATTTGCTTCATATTTGATGAAGTTTGCATCACTGATTTATTACTGTGAAGCTGCTTTGAAACATTCTCCTGTATAAAGTGCTATATGAATAAAGATGACTTAATGACCAGCTGATTGTAAATGTTTCTTGCTTTTCTAAAATGATCCATCTTTATTTTTGTCTCATCACAAATGCTTTCTACGTTCCATGAATCCAAGCACACACACAAAAAAAACACTTCAAACTCAAGCAATCGACCAAGAAACTATTGTACAATTCATTCGCTGAAGGAAGCTGCATGTGATAAAAGCATTATCGATCTGAGAAAGCCTTGCAGAGCACTGCGGTAAATGAAAAGAAAGAAAAACTGAGGAGCCACTGAATTCATCTGGGCTCAATGGATGAAATAGTCACTCGAAATGTTTTTTTCTGTATATTTATACAAACTGAAATCACACAGACCTGCTATCCACAGTCCTCTCTGGAACATGTCGTACACTGTCTTTGTGTCCTCATAGTAAAACTCCAGCAGATTGTCATCCGTCAGTAAAGCGGAGCGTCTACAGCTCTGATCTCCCTGTAAATAAGTATATGTAATACCTGAAAATCATATGTGTTATATGACAAAGAATGATTGCTCTTGGTACATATTTATACTTTCATGCATTTCTCCATTAAAAAAAAGACAGTTCATCCAATAATTATCATTACTTGCCTAAAGAATCAGAATGATATTAAAATTGTAAATAAAACAAACAAACATTGGAGTGATTATTGGAAAAGATTATTGGAGTGTTTTACAAGAATATAATATTTCGTTTTTTTCCCTTCAAAATTTCACATTTTATTCAATGAGTTAATGTTTCTTTATGTAGTGAAATTTACTAGCAATTTCTGAGTGAGATTGAGTGAATTTGTGTACGTACAGTAAACTATGCACAGTATGTGCTTAAATGTGCTAAAATGTGCAGTAAGCAACTCAAACACAAAGTGTGATACTGTATCCCACAATGCAATGCACTCAAATTGACCTTCCATTTTCAATGCGATGAATAAAGCAGAAGCAGTATTAAATGTTCTTAATAAAAAATTCTTAAACCGTATTGTAAATAAAGGTGACATGTCTCGATGACCGGCTGATTGTACATTACCTCTTACTTTCAGTATATCTGCTGTTTTAAAATTCCTTTTAATATGTCTTTCTTCCCAGCTCAAAAAAACACCAGGTCTAAGTTGGTATGGCAGTTTGATTAAATCGTAATGTTGGCTAGTTTTTGGACATTTTTCAGCTAAACAGTTGTTGACATTATTTGATTAGCCAAAACCTGACTCGACATGTAATTGAGGATCATGTGAAAACAATAGACCTGCAAAAGTTTTCACATACTGAATTTAAACAGTGTACAGTATACTTTCAGCTATTCATCACTATATCCATCATTATACACTAAACATCAAATTTTCATTTTTGGGTGAACTATCCCTTTAATAGTGTTCAATTAGGTTTTATTTTTCCGCTTTCACTTTTCATTTTAATTTTAGTTTAAGTTTTAGTATTTGATGAGCAATTAAAAATGTTAGTAATTTAGTATAATTTAGTAACAGTTTTGGCTTTTAATATTTCTTTTAATTCGTTTTTATTTCAGTTTTAGTAACTTCAGTACTTCCACTTAACCTACTTTCATTTTGTAAGTTGCCAAAGTAATATTTCACATTTTTAAGTCTAATTAAGTCTTTAAAGGTGCAGTATGTAATATTGACAGCTAGCAGTTGAAATGGGTACCGCAGACCAAATTCGAAATATTGGGGAGAGTTTGTTTCTCCCGCCGCCTCAGACTCGACGCTCACATGGGTTGCCAGATTGAGGACACGCTACAGAAACGAGCCCAGCTGACAATGACACTGTAAGTTGATGAATTGATTTAGCTGCGTTTTAATATTCCTCTGGTCATAGAGTTTTTAGATGGACGCCAAGGCATTTAGGTCGGGTAGAATCTGCGATCTCTGACCCAGTTCGTTTGCTGGATTCCATGGCTGCAATACGCTGTGTTTTCCACCAACTGGCAACCCGAGGTGTGGAAACACTATATTGGGTAAATTGACAGTGGGTGAAATCACACAAACCAAAATAACAAAAAAAAAAAAAAACACAAAAGCACATTTCAAAGTAGAATAACTGACTGTAGCATTGTTTTTGGAGAAACAAGTATGTGAACTAATGTTTCCTAAATATCTGCAAACATGGTATTTCACGCTTTAGTAGAGTCAAAAAAAATGACATACAGCACCTTTAAATTTTTTTCAGCTAATATTTATTTTTATTGGATAGATATGAGTTTTAGTTTTGCAGTAACAACACAGTTACCTGCACAGATATGGACTGGGCCTGTAGGTCACATGGAGGCTGGATTGGTCGAGGTCTGGTCACCAGCCAGTAGGTTGTGAGAGAGGCTAGCGCTCCTAAGCCTATGATAGAGGACGGAGAAAGGGAGAGAGAGGACAGAGAGAAGGACGAGGGCAGAGACGGAAGGAGCGTCTTCAGATTGTCCATTTCAGACGTGCCATCTCCTCCAGTGAAACGCAAGGAACGCAACCAATCCTGAAACTGCATAGCTGTGAGACACACACAGATTCACTGCCATCAGCATCATCATAAGAGTCCAACACTTCACAGTCTCCCACATCTCTCTAAATTATATGAAAAAGGACAAGGGCTAATGCATGAGAGCCGTTACGCACCCACAGCAGCAAAATACATATTTAAATCCAAAAGCATGCTTTGAGAACAACTAATCTGAGAAATCTGTTGTTCACCAATATTTTGTATATATATAGAACACAAAATAAGATATTTAGAAATGTTGGTAACCAAACGGTTTTATGACTATTAACATTCATTAAAAAAGGCATCTTTAAATATATCATATGTTATATTCCACAGAAGAAAAGTCGGATATGCACTTACATAACACTTTACAATAAGGATCCATTTGTTGATATTAGTTAACTACATTAGTTAACAAAACTAATAAAACTTGGAAAATAAAATCTGATTCAAACTAGGAGTATTTCAATCCTAATCTGCAAACCTGATACCAAGCAGCAAAAAAAAAAAAAAAAAGGATGACTATTCTGTATGCTACTATAGTGGCACAGAAATGACACATTTCACTTTTAACCATAGACAAAGAACATCACAACACTGGCATTCTATTTACTGAATATGTCAAATATGGCAATTTTCACAAACTGGCCCTTTTAATAGCAGCTCGCCAAATAACCCTTATTAAAGCTGTTAGAAATGTTCCATTTTTTCCACGATATAATTGCAAAGATAATAAATGGCTGTTAACCACAACAGTCAAACACAAGCCCTGACACGCTCAACAAATTTTTATTTATTTATTTATTTTTAACGTAGAGATAAGGGAAGATGCCCCACTAACTGTAAGAATAATGTACATTTATTGTAACATATTTAGATATAAGTTTTGCATATTTAGGATGATGATGACGTATCAGCCAATGTGTTTTTATATGGTGGCCGAAAGAGCTCAACGCGCTGCAACCTAAAACACATGCCAATAGAAAAAGCACCAGCAAATTAAAGGGGTCATATGATGCGATTTCAAGTTTTCCTTTCTCTTTGGAGTGTTACAAGCTCTTGGTGCATAAAGAAGATCTGTAAAGTTGCAAAGACTAAAGTCTCAAATCCAAAGAGATATTCTTTATAAAAGTTAAGAGTCAACCACGCCTACCTAAGCGGTAGCGGTATGGTCATAACGGCTCGTTCTAACACGCCCCCACACTGTAAACCCGAACAGTACTACTAACTTATAAAGATTAAGAACACTGCAATTAAAGTCTGTTAAATCGTTGATGCAACTTATAACAATTGCATTTTCTGAACGAGGAATTTAGTTTTATTTTTGTGTGGCTCAACAGTTTTGAGTAAACTCTTCTATTTAAATTATTATTTTTAAGTTTACTGAGTGACGTAAAGTGACGTCACCTCGTTGCTCTAACCGACGTTCAGAAGAATCCATTCAACATGGCGGAGACTCGCAAGCGACCGGAGCAAACTTAATGGAACAACTTGTAAGTAAATCAAAACAACTGTGAAAATTTCTTATTTGCTTTTTGAGTGTTGTAAGAATATCATGATAAAGGAATGTTTTCATTTTTGGGAAACGCTGTTTTTACACAGCGCTGTAAAGCGCGGCATTTCCCTAGTGCTTTTGAATGCGCATTTTGAATGTTATTTTAACGTCACTGCTTATAGTATAATGTTAACGTCAAAGAAGGGCACTAATGTTAACGTTAGACGGCATTTCTTTCAGTAAACGCAGTCCTAACGTC